TACTGCTACTGCTACTGCTACTGCTACTGCTCCTCCTCCTCCTCCTACTACTACTACTACTACGACTACTACGACTACTACGACTACTACTACGACTACTACTACTACTACTTCTTCTTCTTCTACTACTACTACTACCACTAATACTGCTAGTGCTGCTAGTGCTGCTAATAATTACCGCGAATACTTACTGCTGCTTGCCGTGGTCTCTTACGGATGTCGGGGTCAGCATATGCTTTTTCGTGTGGTTGTTTTTCCACTGATGCTGACATGGACTTTTGTATCTCATTACCGACCGTTTCCCGCGGAGCTGTCATTGGCATGCCAGGTGGGTGACAATACTATTACTACTACTACCACCACCACCACCACCACGACTACTGCTACTACTACTACTACTACTACTACTACTACTACTAGCGTACTGGTGCTTTTCCTGCTGCTAGCACGAAAAGTGCTTGCAGAACTCCACTACAACATCCTCCTCCTCCTCCTCCTACCATCTCCTATCACTACTACTACTGCTGCTACTGCGCTGCTACTGCTTCTGCTACTTTCTTCCGCAGCTACTACCAGTAATCCTGCTACTACTTGTTTATACTGCTGCTTCTGCTAATGCAAATGCTCCTCCTCCTACAACAACTGCTTCTCCTTCTCTACTACGGCGACGACTACTGCTGCTACTGCTACTACCACCACGACCACCGCCATCACCATCACTACCACCAGCATGGCCACGGCCGCGGCCGCTGTACCACTACCACTTCGACGACGACTACTAACTACTACTGCCACTGTTGCCACGAAACCATTGCTAATCCTGCTACTTTGCCTTGATTGCTACACTTTCTGCGTACTGTTACTTTCGCTAGTGCGATCCTTCTCACTGTTGCTGTTGCTATTGGTTCCAAAACGGTTGCCATCATCATTACATATCATTACTCTTACCAGCACCGTAAGAAATACTGTCACTATCACTCGCACTTTTCCTGCTACTGATACTCTCGCTGTTGCGGTTATGAGGTTACAGTTGCTGTTGCTGTTGCGTTTACCATTGTTTGTGCCATCAGTAGGTCACTAATGTCCTCCTGTTTCTTTTCGGCCCTCCATGGTCATTTTTTGAACCCCGATCCTCCCCAATGTTGCCTTTTGTTCCTTCCTTCATTGCTATTGCCTATCCTAATACTATTGCCACCATACTACTGATACCATTGCCACTGCTCCGCCTGCTACTACGACTGCTACAACGACGACGACTACTACTACTTCTTGTTCTTGCATCAGACCAACTGCTACGTCCAAGTCTATTTCCTTTTGTTACTACGACTTCTACTTATGCTTCCAAGGCGATGGCGGCGACAACTACTGTGATGAATACGGGCAGTAGGGTCACCATGCTCATCCTAGCCATGACCAACATGATCACCATGACTCTCATGGTCATATCTTGGTGACTGCTTCTGTTGCACCATACTCTTTGCCTTCACACAATGAACGCAACCATAGACCTGCACAGTGAGCGGATGGAACTTAGAAGCCGGAGCCCTTGACAGCACTACCAGCGTGCCGTACTGTTCGTCAAGACGGCAAAGTAGAGACGAACATGCAATACTCGAAATTTAGGTGTCCAGCCTGGCTGCAACTCACCATCCCGCATGCTCCACTGGTGAAATTGCTTGCCACTTTCCTCCTGCACACGTTTAGACTCCACCATTGCTGTGAGCCGGAGGACCCTGCTGCTTCGCCTGGCTGCAGCAGCAGAGTCCAGTGAGCAGGTCTGGAACGACTTGTGTAAGCCATGGTGCCAGCAGGAATCGGGAGCATATCGCTCACACGACGAGAGCAAGAGAGGGAGGCAGTGTCGCACCGTGACCTACTCCGCCATGCAGCTTTCATGCAGCCCTTGCAACAGGCGCAGTTGAATCTGTTGTGCTGCAGCACCTTTCCAGCTAAGCGTGTTTTTTGTCCGGTTTGTCAAACTGTTGTTGCATCCTGCCTGTTGTCAACCCATCACCTTTTTACAATTTAGAAGGCCGCATGTAATTCGATAGACGCCAGGCTGAGGGTACAGTTTTTGCAATAGTTTTCGGTGGTACCTTGCACTATGCTTGGCGTGCTTTCACATGCTGTGTTGGGGTTTGGGCGTACTGCCGTGCACCAGGCCTGAGATGAAGAGTGTTCGGCATGTAGCCAGTCGGCTTTCGCAACCCCCTGCCGGAACATGAGCCAGAACAAGATCGCACAAGAAAAAGACTCTGTTCTGATTGTCCTACAAGTGCCTCCGAGCACACCCCGGATCCTCTTTTTGCAGTGGTATTCTTCACGAGGCCAGCAACCACGAATCGGCACAACCCGGGAAGCAAAAATGTTCATCCTCTCAGCCCGGAAGAAAAAGAAGCCAACACAAAGCTTTACCAAACCCCCACCAACTTGCCAGTGGGGCTTACTGGGCTGCGCGGCCTTCGTTCTTTGCTTCATCCCAGCGACGCTCTTCATGATACCAACAGGTGTCAAGCTTTGCGAGCACGTGCACTTGGGAAGTTGATGTTCGGAAGTTCGGGCCTAGTCTAGAAACAGGCCTGCCGTGCTGGGACTTACACCAGACCCTGATTCATTAATTGTTTGACACAGTTTAGTGCCATTGACTTTTCTGAATCGGAGCAAGTTTCGTTTGCACAAGGAGTGCCTCCGAATGTCAGCTGTTCTCCTCAACCTTTGCGCCCAAAATACTGCTCTAGTTTATGCGACTTTGCCTGAACAGGGCATTCCTGATCATTCACATCATCCCAACCAAAAAGCATAAACAAGAAAACTCAGCCTGCAAGACTTGTGGCTTCGTAGCCGAAAAACTCGAAGGCCCGACAGCTGAATTCCTCAACGCCTCGGCCGTGCAGAAAGCGCGAGCTAAACCTGAAGTGACTGTCTAGAACGAGCGCAAAGCGTCGAAACCTGAAGCCCAAAAGCCCTAGACCTCTGGGAAACCCACAAGAAGCCCTTGAACTCCGTGAGCGTCTCTTGCAGGGCCGTTGGAGATGGCAGCCGGGCTGCTCTTCACCCGCCGCTACAGCCTCCTAGGCCGGGCGCCGGGGTAGCTTCCTGAAGTCTCAAAGGGGGGCTCAGCGGCGATGGGTTTAGGGTTGAGGAGTAGGTTGAGAGAATGTGGGGGCTTCGTAAGGAGGTTTAGGACGTGGTTTAGGTTCAGAGTGCCGCCGCAGGTTTTACAAGGTCAATCGGCACATCCCAAAGAATCTTCTACCAGCAAGGGGCCAAGAACTACACGTGCATAGCCAGGCGAATTAGAAGAGCCATCTAACCAGACACATGGTCCGACTGAGACTTACAGCATCCCAGCGTACAGCTAATTAGAAGATGGCCGTGACATGGTCCTGCAAGCTGTGCATGCAGCGGAACTCCATCGAGGCCGACAAGTGCGTCACTTGCGGACGGCCCCCAGACTGGGTGCCAGCACAGAGGCACCAAGCTGAGCCCCAGGGCGAACTCGAGGTGTTCCGGCCAAGGGAGTTGGCACCGCGGGATCCACCCAGAGAGGTGCAGCCCGTGGCGCAAAACTCCAGAAGCTATGTGCAGCTCTGCATCAGTTTTATTTTAGTGATGCTTAATGTAATCGTGAACATGCTTTGGCCTGTGAAATTCTTGCGGATGGATGAACAGCTGCGGGTCCAGCACCTGACGACTGTCACAGTGGTGAATGGCCCGGGGCTGGTGTGCATCAATCCATTCAAGACCTGCGCGATCGTGAAGGCAGTGACTTTAGGTCCGCTAGACTACGTGCGAGTGCGCGATGCCATGGATGGCACTGAGCGTGCTGTGCACGGGCCACGGTTGTTTTTCCTGGGTCCCTATGAGAAAATGCAGGCAAGTGGTCAGGGAGTGAGTGTAAGCAACATGCAATACGTGCTGATAGAGGACAAACAGACCGGAGAGAGGAAAGTACAGCGTGGGCCATTGGTGTGGATTCCCGGACCTCGAGAAGAGGGGAAGGTCTTTAACGCCGTCCGACTTTCCAGCACGGAGTATGTCACAGTAGAAGACCTGCTCAGTGGAGCTCGGAGGGTGGAAAAAGGACCCTGCATTTGGTTTCCAGGTCCCTATGAAGAGTGGGAGCAAGGGGAAGCAGTCCACCTCAGTGGGACCGAATACGTGACTGTTCAGAACGTCCTTTCCGGCGAGAGACGTGTAGACAAAGGTCCTTGCATGTGGTTCCCTGGTCCGCACGACCAGTGGACAAAGGGTGCCAGCACCAGCCTATCGTGCACGCAGTACCTGACCGTCTTGAACAAGCTTTCCGGAGCTTCTTCACTGGTCAAGGGTCCTTGTATTTGGTTTCCCGGGCCATACGACAGTGCCTCACAGGTGAGGGAGGCCGTGGTGCTACAGGATGATGAGTATGTGAAGCTGAAGGATATCTCAACAGGGACGCGTTGGGTTCATCGTGGCAAGGGCCTCCTTTTCCTGGAGCCAACGTGGCGCGTCGAGAGCTCCAATGCACGAAGTTCAGGCATCCAGAAGTCATGGGCACTCCGAGGCCGGGAGTTCTTGAGGCTACAGGTGGCTCCACACCTACGTGTGACCAAAGGCTCCTGAAAGCGCGATGCAGAGGCTGCATACAGGTCACCCTTTGCACTAAAGTGAGGTTCCGATGTAACTTCCGAGTTTCACCAATGTCTATGACATTCTTGGTGCCGGACAAGAAAAGTCCCTCTCCAGGGCCCGGGGCATGGGAAATCCCACAGAGAAGGCTAGGAATCCGAAGTCATCTCACTCGCGCACTGTATCGTTGATTTTTAGGTGCACTTTTGTCAAGCTGCTATAGTCCTCGGTCAGAAGATAGTCGAAGCACGACTGATCAAACCGGTCACTCGTTACTTCCACAATCGCGAGCAGAAGCCTTTTTCAGCTTTGCAGGGTCTTGGCACTTTGGAATAGCTAGGTGTATTTAGCTTGCAACTTCACACAGGCTGCGCAGAGGTTCCAGTCGAAGATGCCTTATTTGCTATGCTTCGAATTCATTCGCTCTTAGGGCACAACGTGCAGTCTCAATTTGTGGGCTGGAAGCGCGACCAGCAACCTCTTCTGGATGGCATTGACTTGATGGGAAAGGGGAAGTCATGCTAGGATTTTGCAACGAGGGCCTACCGAAAATCGATGTTGAGCTACTGCTGGTTGCTTATCTAGCCCCGGCGTCACTGACACAATCTGCGTGGCTCAGCCCATCTGCCAAGGTGTGTATGGTCGATTCCGTTTGCCACATCCCATCGGCCAACGAGCTAGAAGCGTGAGAATCCCAAGGCCCGAACCCAACTCCACGACAAAAGAGCGTTAAAACCCACTTGCAGCTCCAGGGTCCGCGGTGCTAGCAGCCTTTGCCAAGCAGCTTGCAGGCCTGCGGTTGAGATGGATTCCATTGCAGGTTTGATACGGTACTGATAACGGGTGGAATTGAGTCGCATCGGCGAGGAGATCTGTGCCCACTGCCCACTAAGAGCTGTAGAGGTTCATTCTGCTCTAGGAAATTTCAACAGGTCGAGGGATTGCCCCACTGTCTGAACCGGCATCGCCACAATTCATACATCTCCCGCGGAGTACGTTGGTGCCACTGTTGCTGGTCGGAAGATCAGTTACCATGGTGATGGTGGCAATGCAGGAACCACTGCCACCAGCAGCAGCAGCAGCAGCAGCAGCAGCAGAACGACGTACCAAAACGAAAGAGCAAGCACGCCGCAACCGTGACACAACCGAGCCATAACAACTCAAAAACCTCCTGCTTCTCCTTCTCTTCTTCCTACTGCTATTAAAATTACTACTACGTACTACGTACTACGTA